CTTCACCCTGATGACTCTGCCCTGGGCGCTGGGAGTGGACATGGCCTCTGCCCCAGGCGGCTCAGAAGTCCAGGCAGACAAGGGGTGACGCTGAGGGAGAGGCCACGTCTGACGGGGCTTCCGGGAGGACCTTCGGGAAGAAGTGGCCTTGAAGCTGGGCCTGGAAGGATGGCCACTCTGGGCGGTGTCTGGGCAGGGCCACTGGGGGTTGGGGACAGCTGGCTCGGCTGGTCTGGGAGGAAGAATGGCAGGGAACACCTCCTGGCTAGCCTGGGGTGGCTGTGACGAGAGGCTGAATTGGCTCCGGAACCCCCAAACTTCAGCAGAACCTTTGCTTCTGCCACGGCCACCTCTACCACCCTCATCTCCCCAGGGGGTCACTTGAGCCGAAAGGGCAGGAGCCAGGTGGCTGGACAGATGGCTTGTTACCAGGAGGGCAGGGAACGGGAAAGAGGGAGCCTGGGCCCCTCGCCAGAGCCGGTTCCAGCTCCGCTTACTGTGGGATCTCTGCACTCCATCCCTCTGAACCTGTTTTCTCCTCCAAAAAACGTGTGGACATACCTCAAAGGGCTGCCGTGAGGGTATCGGGAACAGGTGTGTAAAGTTTCTGGCGCACAGCAAGTGTCGACCGATTCTACCTCTTGAGAAGGGTTAGAGCCAGGTTGGCTCTTCTCCACAGGCAGCAGCGAGGATGCTGGATGCTGGGCCCCTCCAAGTCTGTCCCTTGCCCCCTGACCCTCGAGAAGTCCACAGCCTCCAAGACTGGGCTGGCAGGAGTGAGAATGAGGGGGAGCCTGGGGGTTCTGAGAGCAAATGAATGCAAGTCAGGAAGCACAGGGTGCTCTGGGGGCGGGCGGGGGGTGGGGAGATGGAGAGAGACATCCAGATCCAGCTACCAGGGGCTGGGCAGCCAAAACAGACGCCGGTACCCTACGGGCCCCTCTGTCCTGGAATCCCCCGTCCCCCTCTGCAGCTTGTCCTCGCCCACGGATTCCCAGGTGTGGACACAGACAACACGTGTGCGCAGACACACATGCATATGCCCAGGAACACTCGGACACACGCTTCAGGCCACGGGCCTCAGGACAGGGGAGGCCTAGGGAAGCCGGTTGGATGGAGCAGGGAGCGGAGGCCCTGGGGGCTGCTGACCTCTTCTCCATCTGCCTTTGCCCCCAGCGCACCCACGGCCCACCTGCCCACGCCTCTCACACCGCTGGGGAGCCCCCCTCCGAAGCCGCTCCCTCTCACTCCAGCAGAGCAGTCACACAGGGTGTCAGCGCTTGTTCACATGCGTGGCCCCTGTTGACAGATGGGAAAATGGAGGCTCCAAGACGGGACCTGGCTTGGCAAAGGCGTGAGGAGGACAGGGGGAGGTGGGAGGCCAGCCAGCCTCGGTGCACAGACTCTTAAGTCCGAAGCCTCCCGGAGCCCCTGCTCCCAGTTCCCCCTGCGGCACCTCCTCCTCGCGCCTGCAACCCACTTCCTCCCCAGAAAGAGCCTAGAAGTACAGGGCTATGGGAGGCAGCCAGCCCTCCCTCCCTCCCAGGCCTCTGCGGACACCCCGACCCCTGTGTTCCCGTAGCCCCTGGGGAACAGGCAGGGTGGGAGTGGATCAGCTGGTGCCCCTCCGCTCGGCCAGGCACGGCCCTGGGAGGCTTTGCTGAGAGGACAAATCTGGAGGCTGAATCCGAGGTCCCGGCTCAGGGAAGTGTCTGCAGCACCACCTGGTGGTGATATGGCACGGCTGTCACACCCGGCCCTGATCTGTCATCCAGCCCCGTGAGTCCACCAGGTATTTAGTGGACAGTTACCGCGTGCCGACCACTGGGCGGCCGGTCACCGAGAATGGGACTAGGCTGAGAAGATCTGGGGGCATCAGCCCCGAGACAGGAAGGAGTGGGGCGTGCCCCAAGTGGTCGACAAGGCTAGGCCTGGGTGCCGGGGTGGAGAGGGAGGGGGAGAGGACCAGGTGGGCGGCCCGGTCTCACAGCGCCTTTTAGGTTGCAGTGAGGAGCTCGGGTTTGTATCCGAGTGTGATGGGTGGTTTAAAGGCTGCAGCAAGGAGGACGGATGGGGAACTGATGCCCGGAGCGAGGAGCAGCACAGTGAGTCCTTGGTGCCCTGGGCACTGGCTCCTGGCTCAGGGCTCCCCGGCTTTGGGCCCCTCCCCTTGCTCGGGTCACATCCCTGGGGCTCACACTAGGGGCCGCAGTGAGGCTCTGGGATTAGCTTTCAGGGTGATTTGAGCAAAGTCCAGCAGCTTCTCAGCTGGAGTACCGGGGCCGGGGGCTTGGCCCAGCCCTGCCGCAGACAGGGGTCAAAGCCGTCCTGGACCCAGACCCAGGAAAACAGTCGCGATCTTCAGCCCTGAGTGGCCTGCTCCTGCTGACTTCCGGCCCCAACTCCTGCCTCTGCTTCCCTCACTTTAGCCTCCAGCCAGCTTTTCTGATAGAATCGCAGGCATGGGCAACTCCGTGGGGAAGGTGGTTCGTGTGTGGTGTGTGTGTGTGTGGGGGGGGGACAGGGAGGTGGGGCGAGGCACCTTTCATCCCACTTTGGATCCCAGATGTGCTGGGCTGGGACATCGTCCCACGTCTCATCCCCTGCAATTGACAAGGGGCTTCTATTCAGCACCTCCTGTGAACTTCACAGCAACCCTGATGCGTGGGCAGGACAGGGGTCCCGACCTCCATGGCCCTGATGAAGACTCAGGGCTCAGGCAGGGATGCGGCCTGCAGAGAGTCACACAGCAAGTTGGCGGTGAGGCCTGGTTTCTGCTCCCATGTGAGCCCAGGTTTCTGTGACCCGCTCATGGTCCAGGAGGACTAGGAGCAGCCAGTGCGGTCCCTGAGTGAAGGGCCAGCCAATCTCAGTGCCATTCCAGGGAGACAGGAAGTGTGGGGGTGCAGGACCCCTTAGCCCAAGTCTTATTTTGCTGCGTGAGCTTGGGTAGCTCCTTTTCCTCTCGGGGTCTCTTCCCCATCCATTCAGGGAAGACATGGATACGATAACTTCTAATGTCCTTGTTGTCCAAAGCTCTGACCCTGGCACCCAAGAAGAGAGGAGATGCCATGAGGGAGGGAGGGAGAGAGAGGGGGGTGGGGGTCCTTGGAGGGAGGGTGGACGGAGAAGCAGTGTGGCCTTGGGGAAGACACTTCCCCTCTGAACCTCTGTTTCCACATTGGTCAGCTGCAGTCACCGCGGAGGTCCTGGCCCAGCATTTGGGACAAATGTCAGTCTTTTCTTGCCCACCACCAATCACTAGGCCTGGGTCTCACTGCTGCTGGCTGTGGTAGCTTGGGGAGCCACGGAAGATGTCAGACCGGGCAGTGGTCAGGCTGCTCGGCTGGCTGACCTCTGCTGGCCCAAGGAAAGCGGAGGGTGGGGTATCTTTCCGGCAGGACAGGCCTAGGCAGCACCCGCACCCTGGTCAGGTGATCACTGAGATGGCAGAGGGGGTTTAGGCTTAGGGGCCACCAGGCCTGGGCTTGAGTCTCAGCTCTGACACTTAGCAGCTGTGAGACGTTGGGCGAGTCACCTACGACCTCACTGAGCCTTAATTTCCTCTGTAAAATGGGAGTGCCTATCCTCAGGTGCTGTGGGGCTGGGCGACAGAGGAGCGGCGGGGAGCAGTGCACCCAGCCCAGGCTGAGGGGACCGGCTGACGTTCCTTCTTCTTCTGCTGTCCCTGCAGCCCCAGCCTCGACTCGGAGTCAGCCTGGAACCCGGGCGCCAGTGGATGCCTTACCGAGCTTGGAGGCCCAGGCAGCCTCGGAGCTGGGGAGGTTGAGCAGGGCACCTGTGCAGGCCAGCTCCTCCTGACAGAGAGACGGCTCACAATAATCGGCTCCACCTGTCCAGGGGTCAGTCTGCGAGGCTGGGGGGGTTCGCTGAAGTGAGAAGCTGCTGAGAGCGCAGGAGGGGTTGCCTGAGGGTAACCACCCCAAAACCTGATTTCCTTTGCTGCTCACCCCTCTCTCTGGCTGGCAGCCTTCCTAGATTAGCTGCTGACGTCAGGAGTTGCCAGCTGGGCGGCCTGGCACAGCCGCGGGAGGTGGCTGAGAGCTGTCTGGTTGATGGGAACATTCAAGGAAGGGGGCCTCTGTTAAGCTTTGGAAAATTTGTCCTTCAGGGAGCTGGGAGGTGGGGTAGAGAGCTGAATTGTTTTAGGTGCTCATCTATTATCTGAGTAGCACATTCACATTGTAGAGAGAAAGAGCTCAGGGAGGGGGAGTAACTTGCCCAAGGCCACACAGCTAGTCTGACCCTGGCTGCAGCCCACGCCATCCAGTGGACCCGCAGCTGCTAGGCCGGGGGGGCTCCTCCCCACATGGGTCAGCACCTCCTATGTCACCGCCGCAGTGGCAGCTGCCATGTGCTGAGAGCGGTGAGGCTGCTGTCCCCCTGTGCACACAGGGAGGTAGCAGGCGCTTGACACCAGGGCTACGACGAGGGGAGGCTGAGCTGGAGGCTCTGAATCTCCAACAAGGTGGGCCCTGGGGGTGCCAATGCTGAGAGAGTCAGGAACGACAGCGCAGGTGCCCTGCAAGTGGCTACACCTGTGCGGAAGCTTGTTTTTGAATTGTGAAGCTCTCATGGCCAGACAGAAATCTGGCAAAGGGAGAACAAGAAAAACCCCAGAATCCCGCCCAACCCTTCCAGTCTTTTTTTGTGTTTTAACGTAGCTGCTAGCAACGGCTCCCCAGTGTTGGGAGCACTGCCCGGGAGCAGTTTCCTGTCTTCCCACTGCGCTTCCGTGTGCTCACACTGCCCGCGGTCTGGCAGCGTCTCTCCCGGTAAGCAGCGGGGAGAGCAGGCAGGAGGAGCTTCCAGCTGACAGAGGAGGAAACGGAGGCACCGAGTGGTTCGGTTACTTGGCCGAGGGTGCCGGCGAGTGACACAGGGATAACCCTCAGGCTCCCCGGCCAACACGGACACAGAGGAAAGGGGGATCAGATGGGGGGGGGGAGCGAAGAGGACAGAAAAGACGGCCCCACAACTCTCGTCTCAAAATATTTAATTTCGTTTTGAAAAGGTTACATTCCCAGCTTCCCTCCCCGTCACATCACTCCGGCCCACCAGCAGCGACACACTCGCACGCACACACGCACATAAGGCCAATGGGCTACAGTCCGCTTCCGCCCTCGCCAGCTGGGAAGAAGGAATTTTCTCCTTGCCTCCTTTCCCCACAAAGGTGGGAAAGGGGGGCTCACTGGAATGCCGGCTCCCAGGGGAAGACAGGGAGCCCCCACACACTCTATCACATCACATGCACTTAGAAAAATAAAACCAAGTGGTGTTCTGGCATCCCCAACACCCTAAGAGAGCAATATCCACCTGGAAATCCTCTTCACCATTTTCTAGAAAAATTTATTGCACTTAATTAACAGATGCTAAAGGAGCTCTGGGGTGAGGCTCTGCCACGAAAACCAGGGCTCCCAGGGCCCTGGGTGGTGAGCTGCCCAGCATGAGGGGGCCCTCCTCAGCTGGCTCCCGCGCCTGCCACCCCGCTGCAGGCTGGAGGGCTGCAGGAGCTGCCCACCCAGGGCCACAGCAGGGCGATGTCGCTAGGTGCCTTCTCCAACCTCACCCCAGACAGGCAACCCCCCTCCTGGCCAAGGGTAAGAGTTACCCAGGCCCTTCGCAAGGCTGCTGGCCATTGTGAATGCTCTAAGTACCTATCAACAGCTAGATATACATTTACTGTATGTATGATCTTGCAACATTCTAGCTCATTCACAATTTGTCTGTTCAGAGGCTGTAGCAAGGCTGCCATGAAACTGAAGACAGGGCCCTTAGGAAGGGATGGCGCCTCCCAGCCCATCACGAACCCGTGTAAAGCCACTGACGCTGGCTTCTCTGGCCTCCAGTGCTTTTTAGGAGATGTCAAAGATTTGAGCAGAGGAGCCTCAGTCTTTGGCTGCCAGCCCCGAGACGGAGGGGGCCAGGCGGGAGTCTCCCTGACGGAACTCACAGGCGCCAACCCCTCCCCTCCCGCAAGGACCCGACCCCTGGGCCTGGGAAGGAGGCGCACTTCCCTGAGCACTCCTTTCCCCAGCACGGCCACCCCCGTGGACACTTCCCTCCTGTCCCTGCTGGGCCCTGGGCTCAAGGGGCTTTTCTAAAAGAGGCCAGAAGCCACACTCTTTCCCCGTAAGCACTTCGGGAAGGAACCAGACACCCGCTGCCTGGGGGAAGGAAGGGGCGGGCACTGAACAGGCAGAAGGTGCAGGGGTGGGACAAAAGGGGGAGACTTCAGGCCATCGTCCCACTCACGAGGGTCAGAACATGGATGCCACCCGGAAATTAAGTCTCCATCCTTTAAAAAAAAATAAAACAAGACCCACAAGCCATACACTTCTGGCCAAAGAAAACGAAGAGCTTTTAAGCTGGAGGCTCTTCTACCAATAACAAAATGAGGACTGCCCTCTTGGTGGACAGCCAGACCAGAGGGAGAGCGCCCGGGCGGGCGGGCTGCCCGGGCAGGACACTGACATGCCGGATGCAACTGCCCTGTTGTGGTTACAATAGAGTGAAAAGTGTGAACACGGGTTTTATAGAACCACAAAGTAAAAGTCAGGGGCCTGGAGGGAGGCGGTGACCTCCCTTGGCCTCAGGCACCCTGGTCGAGTCCCCTGGAGAGGCGGGTGTGCAGGTCCCCGGAGGGCCGTGGCATTCTCCTGGGGTGCGGTCCGCGGTCAGTGGATGGCTTCCCCAGGTCTTATTATGTTATAAAAGTCTTTGGGGGTCAGAGTCGGGACTTGGAGCTACCACTTTAAATAAAGCCAGTGGTAAGCATGACAAAGCGTGCCCGTCACCTCCGACCCCTCTTAACCACAGGCTGCCTGGCCCTGAGCCAATAAATACACCCATCTTCAGATGCCCCAGCTGGCCACAACGAGCAGAGGGCTCCACGGATTTCTTCGATGAACCTCCCAGGCAGAGCAAAAACACAAGTCCAGGTGGACACAAGAAAAAGCAGCTGTGAGGTAGTGAGGCCACAGCTGCAAGGACCCCTCCACATACCACAGCCGGGTTCGTGTGGGGGGCCCAAGTCTCTGGGGACCAGGCTGAGGGGACTCTCACATGTGTATGTCCAGAGAACCTGCTATTCCACGAGTTGTGCTGCGACCCTGGTGACCGCTGGCCGGGTGTCCTGCCCGGCAGGTCCCCTCTTGGCAGCCTGCACAGGGGAGGGATCCTGAAGCAAGAACTGGGAAGCCCTCTTCTGCTTTCCTCTGGCCTCTGGCCCGGCCCACATCGGAGAGCAGGACAAGACGACACGGAGACACCCCCCAGCTCCCTGTCCGCAGCGAGGGCCGGTTTCCTGGCCACCGTGCAGAAGGCGCCTCCTGCCTCCAGGAAGGTAAGCTTCCTAAACAAGGGGGTTTTCCTTTTAAATTCAAGGTCTGAGATTGGTCACTGGGTGGAAAGAAAGTCTAGTGGGACAAGTGAGACTCAGGCGGCCTCCACAAGTGACCCGGAGAAGAGGCGACGTCAGGGCAGCTCTCTGCACCGTGACCAGGCTCCGAGACCGGCAGGCCTGGGGGCCTCCCCTTCACAGCAGACAAAACGCAGAGACAGCGACCGCCAGCGCCTCCTCCCTGGCTTCCGGGCCCCAGAGTCACGAGAGTAAAGGGGTGTGGGGGCTGTGAACGGTGGGGCGCACTTTCGCTGCAGGCCCCAGACCCCGACCCCACCCAGGCTGGCAGAGCCCCACGCAGGTGGCCTGGCGTCCACGCAGACACGACGGAGGAGCCGGGTGCCTCCCTGCCTCCGAGGGAGATGGAAACGGACGCTTCTCTCAGACCTCCTGGGTCAGGTGAGGGGCCCTGCGACACGGCCTGCCCGGAAACACGCCCTGCTACCTGAGAAGACGTAGGGGCGCCAACGACGGACTCGCTCTGCGGAGACGGAGGCGGAGACTGAGGGGGAGCGGGGGCGCTGTGCTCCGGAGGCCCCTTCCAATTCCGCTGGGACATCCGAGAGCAGAAACTAAGGCTGACGCACCGGTCTGCGCCGATTCTCACGCCCCCGCCAGCGAGCAGGCCGGCTCCCCGGGAAGTCGCCACGTGCGCCGGCCAGGGGATGATGAAGCTCGAACATGACAGCTCCTGGAGCAGGTGCGTCGCCATTTGCCCGTGACGAGTCATGAGTCCCCACACGCGTGCGGGGTGTCAGGGAGCCCCCAGGCAGGGGCCGAGACGCAGGCAGCGCGGCCAGGGCGGGGCTCGGGCTACAAGGGCCCGTACTTGGTCTCGTACTTGGACACGATGGTCTTGCACTTGCCCACCTCCTTGCGCAGCTCGGCCACCTCCGTCCGCAGGGCCGTGTTCTCCTTCTCCAGGAAGGCCGCCCGGATGGTGATCTGGTTCTCCTTCAGGCGCCGGGCGTCCCGGGACCGTTTGGCTGCCACGTTGTTCTTTTTGCGTCTCGTCCAGTACTTTTCATCCTGCGGGGAAGCGTCCTCTGTTGGTCTCTCCCCTTTCCCAACAAGGAAACCCAACCTTTCCCCACCTCCCAGCGCTCCACACCCCCGGCTCCTTCTGCCACTTTGCGGTGCGGAAGGGATGAGAGCTGGGGCGCAGGGAAGGAGGTGCGCGTGCCAAGGACAGCAGGGGCCCTGTCCTCTCCCCAGGGTGAGAAACAAAGCCCTTTGTAGGAGTGGTGGAGTGAGGGGGACTCCGTGTACTGGGAGCCTGCTCTGTGATGCATGCCCCGACACAAAGAAAGCACTGTCACGTTGGTTATGGCTAAGGTCCAGTCCCCTGAGTTCAAATCTTGCCTCAGCCCCTTACTAGCAGAGGAACTGGGTGACTTCCTTAACTTCCCCATGTCTCAGGTCCCTCGTCTTGACAATGAGGGATAGCAGTAACTGCCTCAACAAGTTGTTTGAGGAGTAAATGGACTGATATGTACAGGTGCTTATTACAGTAAGGATTGCATAAAAGTCTACCATTTTCATCGCCATTATTATGAAAGCCTCAGGAACCTCCTGATAGGCAGGCACAGGTACTCCCATTTTACAAACAAGGAACCCAAGGCCCAGCTAGCTCTAGGTGGCAAAGTGAGGCCCGGACAGAGCTCTGCCAGATGCCAAAGCTTGTGTGAAAAGTCCCTCCTGTGAGTTTTCCACAGATGAGAATGGAAAAACTGCAAGATGCTCCTCTCCCTCCCCATCCCAACTCCTATAAAACCATCAGCTTGGAAGCCGTTTGCAGCATAAAACCATCTTCTGCCCTTCAAAGCGAGGACTGCTCAGCTCAGTTCCTGTGACCTAGTGAGCGCTTGCCCAACGGCTGGGCTCAAGCCAGGGAAGCAAGAACATCAACACAGCCACTGGCCAATAAGGAAACAAACTGCAGGGAGTCACGCGGGGCCAAACACCACCCGATTCCCCTTCTTCCTCCCAGCTGGAGCAGGACGTGGGTCTACGCTCTGAACTCACGCCTTCCTAAACCGTGCCGCAGGGAGGGAGGGCCCTCCAGATAAAACCAAACGTGAAGAGCACAGCCCTGCGGCTCTCGGACCAGGGCTGCACCGCCACTTACACGGACACAAGATTACCTTCTGCTCATCGGGGACAAAGACCTTCTTGGCCTTTTTGATCATGGGCTGGGGCTTCAGGTCCTCCTCCGCAAACTTGTGCTTCCGAGGGTTGAAGAGCTCCCCGCCTGGCACGCTGGAGAGGACCAGGTCTGCAGGGTCGGGATTGAAGTTCACGTCTACCTCCACACAGTTGGGGTCGATGGGACTGGGTGTTTCCCTCTCTTTTTCCAGGGAGGATTCTGAAATACACAGAGGCAGGTGGTCCCAAGCAGCCCACCGAGCGGCAGACTCCTGCCGTACACTCAGATGCCTGCCTGGGTCTCGGCGCCGCACGGCCGCCGCCGCCGCCTGCGGGGAAGAAAAGCACACGGCACCAACCCCAAGCCAGACCGGCATGTGTGCTTCAGACCAACAACACACACACAGAAAGAACCCTTCCCTTTAGGAACCAAATGCTGAAAAGGAAACAGAGGCCCTTGAAAAAGACAAGACTTTCTGATTGTTTTTTCCCCCAAGAAATATTAAGCAAAACATTAAATCATTATCCTCCTTAAACTTCCTGTGATTTCAAGCTCTCAGGTAATGAGAAACAGCTGAATCTCTGTGTGAACTGGAATGGGTTAGGGACACAGTCTGAATAATGAAATGGCATCCACTTTTGAGTCTTAAGAGACATACCAGTCACAGTGCTCATTTAGTCTTATAGCTACTCTGAAAGCAAGATGAGTGTTAGGTTTATCTTACAGATGGGGAAACAAAGGCTCAGAGAAAGGACACGGTTTTCCCGGGGTCGCTCAGAAGGTGAATGACTGAACTAAAATTTAAGTCTCTGTCTGGCTGACTCTAAATCCTTTTTCTTCTCTGCCCTACTTGGCTGCCACTTTATAGTGAACATCAGATGACAGGGACTTTCGGAATCCAAAGGTTGTTAGAGATAAGTTATTTTAAAAGCCTACGCCTTTGGCCTACTCATTCAATGCTACTGATAAGAGTACACAAAATATGTAATTACTCAGTCAATAGCTGCTTAGTGAACACCTACTACATGCCAGCTACTGTCCTGGTAAAGGCAAAGCAGTGAACAAAACAAGTAAAAGTCTTGCCTTTGTGGGATGTTACTCCGGTGGGAAGGCTGCCACTATACAAGCTACATTTCAGATATCTACAGAAGCATCAGATGGCCTGCGGACACCGTCGAGGGCACTGCTACGTGCACAGCCGAGCTCTGGCACGTTCCAGGATCAGCCACGGGGGCCGACAGGCCGGAGTGAATGAATGAGAGGGAAGAGGGGTAAAACAGGTGAAGAACGGGGGCCAACCTTGTCCCACAGGGGGCATGTGACCATGGAAGAACTGTGCAGAGTGGGGGAAGCCCTGGCTGGCTAGCTCAGTTGGTTAGAGCATTGTCCCAATACAGGGAGGTTGCAGGTTCAATCTTTGATCAGGGTTTATACAAGAATCAACCAATGAATGCATAGATAAGTGGAACAACAAACTGATGTTTCCCCCCCTTCCTTCTTCTCTCTCTCTAAAGTCAATGAATGAAAACTAAAAAAGGAACTGTGGCAGGGAAGGGAGTGCTACTGGCATCCAGTGGGCAGAAGCCAAGGACGCTGCTAGACATCTTGTAATATGGAGCACAGTCCCTTCTCCAACCCGAACAACAAACTTATCTAGTCCAAATGTCAACAGTATCACCGATTCTGACTTTTACTCTGATACGAGAAAAACCACTGGAGGGCTCTGAGCAGAGGTACGACATGATGAGAGTTAACTTTCCACTGGATAATGCACATCAACTCATTGCATCCTATTAGAGGGAATCAATTACCAAGAGGGCTGAGCGTCGGAGGAATGAATAACCAGGGACCAGTGTGGTCGCTGAGGAATACTGGGGCCGCCAAACTCTACACCCACAGAACGAAGAGTCAAGGCACCAAAGGCTGACGACTGGAGCTCCCACGCCCCGCTGCTGGGAGTGTCGACAGCTACAGCCCTGTCTCACATGGGTAGTATCCATAAAAGCTGAATATATGGTCCTGGCCGGGTGGCTCAGTTGGTTGGAGTGTCATCCCATACACCAAAAAGGGTGCGGGTTTGATTCCCAGTCAGGGCACATACCTGGGTTGTGGATTCGATCCTCAGTTGAGACACGCGGGAGGCAACCAATCTGTCTCTGTCACACACACACACACGCACACACACACACACACCCCAGTAAAAATATCGTTGGATGAGGATTAAAAAGAAGCAGAATGTACGCATGTCCGATGACCCAGCCCTTCTACTCCTAGGTAAATAACCAACCGGAAGGTACCCGTGTGTTTACCAAATGACGTGCATGGAAATGTTCATGGCACTGCTGTGCATAACCCCAGACTAGAAGCACCTCAAATGCCCATCATCTATAGAGCGGATATGTACTATGGTCTGACAGCAGAACACTATTCAGTGATGGAAACGGACAAGCTATGCTACAGGCAACAACATGGATGATTCTCATATACAAAGTGCAGGAAAGAAGCGAGACACAAAAGAACGCATACTACTTATGTCTTTCCTACAGAAGAAACTGAACAATTAAGAGGGAAAATTCTACCTTCATCTCTACCGTGTGTACGATTCTTCAATGCAGATCTTTCTTTATCTGTATGGTGGTTTGTTTTTTTTTGTCACAGGAGTATTCCTTAAGCATGTTCTGTAAATCTATGCTGTTAGTGTAAAGAGACTCTGATGTCCACATAATTTGTGTGTACTATAAAGCTAGCTATAGAGAGCTATAAATGTGAGTATAATCAACACAGTAGTTAAAAAAGAGAACATAATATACAATTCCATTTACAGAATGTTCAATTACAAGCAAAAGGAATCTCTGACAATGGAAGTCAAGATAGTGGTCACCTCTGGGAAGTAATGACTGAATGGGGTCGCAGGGTACTTTGGGGACACCCATAATGTTGCATCTCCTGACACAGATGAGAGTCACACGGGTGGGTACACTTTGGGAACATTCATTGCGTGGTATGCTTATGATATGGCACTGCTGCGTGCCATACTAAATAAGAAGGTTCTTAAAAACACAGTCAAAGGCAAATGTCATCCAGGTGATTTAAGGTAGAAGACGGGCGTGTTTCCCACTCTGCCCTGCCCGCACACAAACCAGCCTTCTAGGGCAACCCAACCAGCACAAAGATGAGCTGCCTTTGAACAAGAGTGTGGCTGCAATCAGCTGGAGCCCCCAGAGCTAACCCACTTACGGGGAAACAACCCAGGGCGGAGGAGCGCGGTAAGGGGCACGACAGGGACCCGGTCAGAAAAACCCAGCATGCGCTGGACTCCATGGGACAAACGGTTCCACTTCTCCAACAAATGAATGGCAAAGAGAAAAAAAGAGTGGACCCCATCGATTACAAGGGATTTAAGGGATTTGAGAGACACAACTGAATGAAATGTGTGTGTCTTGTTTGGGTCCTGACTCAACAAACTGTCAAACAGCAGCATTTATGAGATAACTTTTTGGAAATTTGAATGCTTAAGAATCTATTGTTAAGTTCAGATGTAAACCTGCTATTTTTGTTATTTTTTAAAAGAACTCATAGTTTACATACGTACTGAAATATTTATGGATGAAATATAATATCTAGGATTTGATGGAAAATAATCAGGTGAGGGGGACGGAAGAGATTATAGAAAACAAGATTGATTAAGAATTATGGAAGCTGAGTGATGGTTGCATGGAGGTTCATTATAGTAGTTTATCTTCTGTATTCAAAAACTTGTCCATAATGAAAAGTAACATAAAAAAAACAGAGCATGGGAATTCTCTGGGTGTGGGTGCCCGGGGGCCCTCCAGGAGCCATCACCATCAGCCTGTGCGCCTCTGACGGAGCCTGTACACAGCTTTGCAGAGACCCCTGAAACAGGGACCATGCTTTCTCTGTAAGGTTCTGTCCACAGGCATGAAAACTAACCGAGTGACCGACCGACGGACCACCCAACCCCAGGGGTAAAACAGAACAAAGACAAGAGGATGGAGGAGGAACCCCAAAGGCGCCCTCTTTGTGCCGGTGCCTAAGCAGGACCTGGCTATGGTGTCAGACAGCCCGGGGTTAAGGTGCTGCCCCACCACCAGCTATGTGACCTTGGGCAGGTTACTCAACTTCTGTTTCCTCACCTCTAGCACACAGAGAAAAGTATCAATCTGATAAAGTTCTTGTGTGAGGATTACATGTTAATGCCCAGCACAGAGTAAGTGCTAAATAAATGTTGGCTGGCGTTATCATCATCATCATCGCCTGAGCTTCCCAATAACCTGTGCCCCTGCATGCGGGGGCAGGAGCCACGCTGAGAAAACGCAGAATGGGATTTCTGTCCTGGGAAGCCTTAGACGGGAAGACCACAGTCCGGACCAGCGGCCGCACGCCCGCCAACAGAAAGGCGCCAACACTACTGACATGACTGCTGTTTCTGTCCTCAGCCTCGGGGACTACGCTGGAGGGTGGAGAGCAGAGGGTTCCTCCACACTGCAGGCCCCCCGGGACCTCCCCTGAGAGAGGGGGTCACTGGGTGTGTGGACATTAAGAAGCCTTCGGTGGGAAGTGGACTTCCTTAGTGGGGACAGGAGGCCCTGCCCTAAGGCCCGTCACCAACCTGTGCTGGACACGGTTTCGGAGGGCTGAAAGACGGCGGTGGAAGAGGACGGTGGGGACGCTGTGGAAGAGCTGGCCGACTCCTTCCCTTCCAGCTCGGCCACAGGCAGCAGTAGGTTCTGGGCCAGGTGAGTGGGGCTGGCAGGGATGCCATTCTCCAGCAGGAACTCGTCCAGGTCCATGTACTCCAGGTGGAAAGACTCGCCATCATATGGGATGGTTTTGTCCCAGATGGGCGGCATGAGGGAGGCGGAAACGGCCATGGTACTGGCTGCCGAGGCCTCGTCTTCCTCCAGCTTTTCCTTCCCCTTTTCCTTATCTGCAGACACAAAATCTATGATGAGACACCACATGAGAGAGTAGTTCAATCCTAGGACGGGGGCACTGAGCTTCACGGGGCTAGCCCACCTCTCCGAGTGCTGATCTATCCCATGCATTTCAAGAGCTCCCTGTATTCTCCATTTATAACCCGGTGCTTGACCTAGGCACACTGGTCTCCTTTAGAGACGGCAGCACATCCTCATCCATGCGTGGGCTTCCCAGAATGCTCACCACAAGCTTTAATGTGGTTAATTCAGAATGGGCTGTGGAATTAGCATCTGGAGGAGAGAGGCTACAGGGAGGAAATCGAATTCCTGAGCTTTCCTGATTATCTTTTCCCTGTGATAGGAAAGGAGTAATTCCTCAGGTCAAGGACTTTTGTGTTCTCCTGTGTGGTCCCCGCCAGCTATGCTTCTCCATAGCAACCTAGCCCAAGGCCTGATCCCAGTTCTGCCACCCAGCTGCTGCCATGTGTGACCTCAGCCATGTTATCCAACCTCTCCCAGGCTCAGTGTCATCCACTGTGAATGAGAATAAAGCTTCCTCTTTGGTGCAGACTAAAGATAACACCTGAAAGTGTCTTACAGAGTTCTGGGCAAATGGCAGGCACTCATTACTACCATGTGCTCATGGAACGCAGGGACCGTGTCTGATTCATGGCTAGATCTCAGGGCCGACAGAGAAGCAGGCTGACCGTGGGCCATGGGAAATGTGTACACTGAATGAAGAGCACTAGGCTGGCACACAGACTTCCTTTAAGTTCATTAGCTACAGAGGGTATGGAGCTGTCTTTTCAGGACCTTTCTCAGAGCAATAATTTCAAGGGAAGTCTATCCCTGAGGAAGCAGAGAGGACTGAAAGGCAGGTTTTCAGGCAGGAGGGAAAGGGTGGAGCTGAAGAAGAAATTTTGCTCCCATTCAAAGCAAAACTAATCCGCAGGGACTAGGTCTCACCTCACTGTCTCAGTCTAAAAGTTAGATGCGTGGATACCGGAGAAAGGGCAAATGAGGAAAAACAGACTAGAGAGACATGCGACAAAGTTGAAGGAAATCAAAGTGACAGGGAGGCTAATCGGGGAAGTAGGAGATAAAATCATGACAAGTTCATAATGGGTGTTCAGAATGAGGGAGACAACTTTGAACTCTGGATTCTGAAGTGGAAAAGAGAAATCAAATATGATTACGTTGGAAATAAACCAGTCATGCATGGACTCCCACACCACAGCCAGCCAAAAAGAAGCCCGCTGGTCCAATAAAAATGGGTTAAGAAGGTGGAGGTTTTAACAAACAGAATTTGGTCATGGCTTCTAATACGAATTAGCCTGAATTCTTGCAACTGCCTTCTGTACCAGGCTTTGGTTGAAGTAAGAAAGCAAGCCAAACGGGAAGTAAGAAAGCCAAGTTTTGGGTGGGCTGCATGGGCCAGATGGCCTCACTCTTCTCCTCCCCCCAGATCTTTTAATTTTTTAATTTGTATTTATTGACTTTATAGAGAGAAAGTAGAAGGGGGAGAGAATGAGAAACACCAATTTGTTGTTCCACTTATTTATGCATTCATTGGTTGATTCTTATATGTGCCCCGAGTGGGTGTCGAACCTGCAACCTTGGCATATCAGGACAACACTCTAACCAACTGAGAACACCACCAGGGGCCTCCTCCCCCAGATCTTGACTCCACATTCTGTTCAGGGCCCATGTTGGGTGAGATCATGGGGATCAAAGGAGAGAAGAGAAGAAAGGAGACATAAAAACAGCCACACTGAAGGAGAAGTAAAAATGTTTCAGATTTTACTTGACCTAAGCAGTTAAGGGTATTTTTTAAGAGAGGGGATGGAAAGGAGAAAGAGAGGGAGAGAAACATTAATGTATTGTTGCCTTTCATGCGTCCCCCTACTGGGGACCTGGCCTGCAACCCAGGCGTGTGCCCTGACTGGGAATCGAACTGGCAGCCTTTTGGTCCGGAGGCTGGCACTCAATCCACTGAGCCACACCAGCCTGGGGCAACTAAGGATATTTTTAATCAATGTTTTTGTAAGATGGAATTTTAATTGTAAGAGATAATAAAGAATTAGGCCCATCACTCAGGTCTCAGGGATTAGCATTAGGGGTTCAGACGGTAGAGCACCAGACTGAGAGTTACAAGGCCTCACAATGTGACCTTGAGGAGGCATCCTCCTCTCTGAGCCCCAACTTTCTTCATCTGTGAAGTGGGGCTAACACCCTCTACAGCACTGCTGCGGAAGACCAAATAAAACAAGATTCGTCAAAGTGCTTTGTGAGAACTCTGCTAATGTAAAGGACAATTATTGTTATGGACAGCTTTTATTGGGCAATCTTGAACAAGAACCTGACAGATGTGTACACATGTCCCAGCAGCTTGTCTCAGCCCCAGATCTGGAACAAAGCATCGTCTTGAAAACAAACAAAAGGTTCTGAGCGCAGGAGGTCCTGAAGCAAGAGGAGAAAGCCTGGCTTCACCGGGTATACTGAAGCTATATATAATCCAACCACGACAAGCCATAGGAATGGAAGCCTCAAACACACCCAGGATGGCATTTTTAGAAAGAAAATTAATTCCCCAAGGCAGGTAATTCACCGAAAGCCTACTGCATCCCAAACCCCTACACTACACTGATGGTTCTTGGAATCTCAAAGGTCTCAGATTGAAAGTGTATCTCTGCGCACGGAAGACCACAATAGGTGGCACTCTACTGCTCTCTGAACTTCATGTTGCCAGGCCAAAAAAAAACAAGGCCAAACCTGCTTTCCACATGGGCCCTTGGGACCTTTGTGGCCTAGGAAACAAGATGAAGGCCAGCTCTGCCACGGCGGCCCTCAAAGTCTAGGGTTGGCCCCCCCAAAACCAGGTGAAGGGCCTCAGTGGCATTGCTCTGATCTTCACCCCCCTACCTGCCCTGCCCCACTCTCCATCTCCTCTGACCCCCCTCCCCCGGCTCAGCAGCAACCCCGAGACACACTTCCGAAGAATCTCCAGCGTGCACCTAGTAGTGAGGGTGAAGACAAGGTCCTCCTCCCGGGAGGAGGCAAGGCCAAAAGCAAAGACAATCTGCCTTGTAAATCAGCGCTTCTCAAACTTTAGTGGACTAAGGAATCACGGAGGTGGGGTGCTCCTTAAAACGCAGACTCCTGTCCCACGAGGTGCGGATTCGATAGGCGAAGGGTGGGGCCCGGGAACCAGCGTTCCAAACAAGCATCCCAAGTGATTCGGTGACGCTGTCCCGGGAGAAGGCTCCCTGGAGCGTCATTTAAGTGGCTGTACGACCCCCTTCGGCCTGCTCAATAACCCCTACACCTCGCGCGCGCTCGGGCCGCCCCAAGGAACCTCTCACCGCGACCCCACCCCATCCTCTCCCTTCAAACCCTTCCCCGCCAACGACCATCTGGCCCAGCCTCTCTCAACTCGCCCCTGACCTTCCCCCAACCTTCTTGCCTCACCAACCAGGCCCTCCGTCATCCCGGGTCTCATCCCCCCTTCCGCGGGACCGCTTCACCCAGATCTCCGACCTCCCCAGCCCCGCCCTCAGAAGGCCACGCCCCTGCAAGCCCCGCCCCCAGCGCGCGCGGACCCCCGCTCCTCACCGAGGCGCGCCTCCCGCGGGGGGTTCTCCATCAGCTTCTTCAGAACCAGTGGGAAAGACCCCGGCAGACCCCTTTCCCCAGCTGCGCGCCCAGGCCCCGGGCCTGGCCCCGCCTGCGGCTCCACAGGCGGCTTCTTTCCACCGCCTGTGTCGGACATCGCGCCCCCCCCCCTCCCGCTCTGCTCTGGCGCCTCGCCTGCCCCGCCCGCCCCCCAAGAAGGGCCGGAGCGGTGCGACCCGCCGCAGCTGCCGACACTGGTGGCTACTGCGCAAGCGCCCAACAGCTCCTCCGCCTCCCTCCATCCCTACCCCGCCTGCGGACTTGCTATGTTATATTAATTATTCATGAGGTCAGGCCAGCTTTCCCAGACTGCGGCCTTGGATTGGCCCACCCGGTGAGGAGGGCAGGAGCAGCCTTCCGGACCGGGATTGGTTAGGCTGCAGTGATAAGTGAGACACGTGCAGGGCCAGGTGAGGAGCAACGCCGGAGGCCCCGCCCCATCCACCCGAGTCACCTGATTGGTGCCTGCCGGAGTCTGTGTCATAGGCCCTCTTCTGCGGTAGCTCCTTCCCTGCTACCAGAGATTTCACCTTCGCCTTCTTCTTCATAACCCCCGCTCTCATCCCAGACCACCGCGACCGCTCTCCTTTCCGTCTCATCCCAATCTCTCCACCTTCGGGCCAGGCCACTGAAGGGAGGTGCGCTGGGAGCCGCCGGGAGAGCCTATCAGAGAACGCGTTCGGGATGCAGGGCCCACCCTCCGCAGGTCACATGGAGCCCCAGCCGAGTCTATTCGCGCGGGGAGGGGGGGAGAAGAGGAGGAAAGCGAGGAACAGCCAATAGAGGGCGGGGGCGGGGCCCGGGTCGGTGCACGAGGCTCCGCACGTGCGGGCTTGCGGCGCGGCGGGGCGGGGAGGAAGGGGGGCGGGGAACGGGAGCGGGCGTTTTTGTCCCCGGGACTCTGCCCTGGGTTGTGGTCCCAGGACACTGAGTCGAACCTGCACCCCCATCCCCAGAGGTTGCCTGAGGGCAGGGCGGCGGACGGCGATCTGCTCTTCCCGTAGGGATGGCCCGATCAGGGGCAAGCTTGGCCGCCGCCGAAGGGGGTGTCGGGTTCCTCCCTGATCCCGGGCTTCTGGGGCGGGCGCCGTGGCCAGATACACGCTAGCGTGGAGAGCAGCGTTCTTGAGGCCGGGGCGGGGTGGCGTGGCGTGGACATAAAGGGCCCAGGACCGGGGTACACGCTTTTTGTCCTCCCGCCGACTAGCTGTGACCTTGGGAACGTCCAGTTGCTTCACTTGAGCCTATTTCCTCGTTCATAAAATTAAGGGATTGGACTAGATAATCTCTCAAGTCCTAAACAGCTCTAAATTCGGTTCTTCTCTAGGACCTTGCCCTCCTTTTCCTGGGGACAACCCCCCCCCCAGAAAACCAAACTCGTTTACGCAGGGTACAGATTACACGTTTTGTGGGAGAACCACCTCCTCTCTTAAAATATGAACACTTCTGGGAGTTCCGTGGGACACATAAAAACGTCAAGCGTGAGGGGTGCACAATGGGGGAGACTCGATAGGAAGCTGCCCCTAAACAGCGCCCAGAAATCCGTCCCTCTTCATAGATCAGATTCTGCTCTGCTTTGAACCCAGCCATACAAGACTCTGCCTGCCCGAACTCCCAGAGGGCAGGGACTTCGGTTTGTTTGTCCTGCGTCCTGCCGAACGCTGGCGAGTTGGAAATGGCAGGGCGCAGCCGCGGTTCACCAGGCAGGGGCGTGACAGCGACACCCAGCTAGCTGAGAGTTGTCAGGCTGAGGCCATTAGAATTTTGCCAGGAGCTGAGAAGGAACAAGAAATTGGGTTCCTAGCCCTGGCTGGCATAGCTCAGTGGATTGAGCGCGGGCTGTGAACCAAAGTGTCGCAGGTTCGATTCCCAGTCAGGGTGCATGCCTGGGTTACAGGCCATGACCCCCAGCAACCGCACATTGATGTTTCTCTCTCTACCTTTCTCCCTTCCCTCTCTAAAAATAAATAAATAAATAAAATATTAAAAGAAAGAAAGAAATGGGGTTCTTGCCTAGGCCTGGAAAGGTAGTGGGGCAGAGCAAGGTGATGGGGCAGAGCACGGTGATGGCGTCTGACTCCAAAACTCAAGTTTACTGCCACATGCATTGAACTTCAGTCCCCTTCTGACTTGATCCGTCTAGCCAATTGCTTCCCCTCTCCAGGGCTCCTTTCCTTGTATGTCAAATGGGGACCTATGTCAAGGGTCTACCTAGTGGGTTTTCTGGAGGCCAATGCACATAAATGCGCAATTGCAAACCTGCCAAAAGTGGTAGTTTCCATGACTTTCTAAAACTAAAAAAAATAATAATAAAACTAATGTGTATATGCCCTGGCTGGTGTAGTTCAGTGGATTGAGCACAGGCCTGAGAACCAAAGGATCACGGTTCAATTCCTGGTCAGGGCACTAGCCTGGGTTGCAGGCCAGTTCCCACCAGGGGATGCACGAGAGGCAACCATACACTGATATTTCTCTCCCTCTCTCCTTCCCTTCCCCTCTAAAGATAGATAAATAAAATCTTTAAAAAACAAAACTAATGTGTATAAAACCACTGGCTGGTGTATCCATCATCCTGGAGGCTGGTACTGTGCCCATGTCACTCCCAAGTTAGTGGAAATACGAGATTGTGTACACAGAATCTGTTGTATTGCAGCCCTGGCTGGTGTAGCTCAGTGGATTGAGCGTGGGCTTCGAAGCAAAGGGTCACCAGTTCGATCCCCAGTCTAGGGCACATGCCTGGGTTGCGGGCCAGGTCCCTAGTGGGGGCCAGGTGAGAGGCAACCACACATGTTTCCCTCCCTTCCTCTCTCTCTCTAAAAAAATAAATAAATAAAATCTTAAAAAAGGAGAAATTATTAACATAAATAAATACATTTTTTTAAAAATCTGTTGTGTTGCAGAGTTGTTAGTGGGAATTCTGTATATGGCTAAGATATCTTTAGGTGAAACTGACCTAGAGGTTTTTAGAAACAAATTTTAAAAGACTTAGCAAGGGAGATTAATTCAAACAGTATATGAAGCTTTAAAAAAAAAAAGGCTAGTTTGGTAGTGCAGAGACTGGACTAGAGTCACATGCATATTTTCATGGCTAATATGACGTTGTTGAAGGGAAAAAATCTCAAAGTATTAGAGAAGGATTTACGATAACAGTGGAAGGCTATAGTATTTGTTTACGACAAAGGCGGGATATAGTAAGAGGGAGTAAACATTTTTTAAGCTACAATTATCCAGAGGGAAAATGCTTACTCCGCTCATCACCCAGCCTGGAGCAACTAATGCGCCAGGCAAGTGACAACGGTGAGACGCGAGGCGAGCAGGCCGGGGCTTCAGAAAGTTAGTTTGGATTTGCTTCTCTGCTCGTGACGCTGCCCAGAGCGGGTTTGCCCCCTGGGTAACCCCGGGGCACACGGTGTGTCCCAAACACCGCGGCAGCACTGCAGACATGTTCTCTCTTGTGCCTACTTGCACGCTGGAGGGTTAGCTACGGCGCCGGCTGGCAGCCTCGACAGCACCATCGGGAGGCGGGAGCCACGAGGGTCTAGTCTTCATTCTCCAGCCCACCTGAGAGGAGGCATTGCTGCCGTGCTCTGCTGCCGGCTCCTGTCAGTGAAGTGGGAATAGCAGTGTGGCCTTGCCCCTTCTCTTAGTGGAGAAATAAACGTTGTGAGGAGTGATTAGCTCGTTTCCACAGCGTTTGTGAGCCCTACAAAGAAATAAACTCCATAGCAAGAACACGCTATTATGTGGTTGAGGCTTTAAAGGTATGAAGTGGTACCTTAGTGTTCTTTAGTGACAGGGTTTCAATGCGGCCACTTCTGGAGAAAAGTGTGGTCCTGGGGACAGCTCTGTGGGCTGGGGAGGCAGGGCTGGGTAGAATCCCCCCTCAGACGCTGACCAGCCATGTGGCCTGGGCAAGTGACTTCTCTTGCCTAAGCTTTCGCTATTTTTCTCTCGGAAACAGAGAGGGGTGTGCTGACCCCACACAGTGGGTAGGAGGGTTATGTGTGAGCAGCAGTGTCGCGTGCCCGCCCGGCACGGTGTGGCGTGGTGTGGCCTCTACCCGCCCTGCTTCCGCTCCGGTTGTGTTGGGTCTGGAGTAGAATTATTCGGGGTGTAGGGACAAGGCTGTGTAGTTGCAGGGGGTGGAGGGGCTCTGGAGCCTACGCTGGAGCCTTCTCCAGAGCTGGGCTGGCTTTGAACTCTTTCCTGTTCCAGAAACCTGCTAACCAGTCCAAGTTCAAAACTTAATTCAATTCAAGTGAGCATATGCAGAACAGGTGCCTTTAAGCCATTATCTACCAGTTTGGAGTATTATTATTTAAACTTGAAGTTTAGAAGAGCTAAAACTCCAGTCTGGGGAGCCCTTGGCCAGATACCCCATAATGATCATCTCTTTGGCCACACATGCAGTGTCCAGGAGGACAGGACCATCCCATTTTCCCACTTACTGAGACGTGTGCAGCGAGGCCGGCGTGCGTGAAGCCGGGGCGAGGCTAGGCTCCCTGGAGCTCCAACAGAGCCCAGTCGTCTGTGTGCTTTGCCAATACCAGTTGCAGGAGAGTATACAAAGCTTTGTTCAGGGTAGTAACTCAGTAAGTATTTGCTGGCTCATTTGTTGTTGGTGCTGGTAGGAGGGTTAACAAAACCTTTCAGAGCCAAGTCATACACGTTTGGAACGTGCTAACGTTAAATAGCCGTCACCGTGTTTCACACTCAAACCTAGAACAACAAACATGGCAGGTGCCCTGGCACTAGCTGGACCGACCGCTGCCTGCCTTCAGGCCCACATGCCTGTGGGCTGGGCTGTGTACCTTGGTCTCAGTGCGTTCTAGGGTACAAGTGGTGGGTGGAGGCTCTTCGCTACCTCCCGTGCATCTCTTCGGTATTCTCCAGAGTACTGGTTTCCTGTTCCACTTGCGTTTTGCCTACTCCCAGGATCCCGACTGATTACAGCGAGCTGCCCCAAGAGGGCCATTTCCAGAGAGAAGCCCTCAGCTCCAGTCTCTGCCACCTCAACAGCCACTGCCTGGTGGCCAGGGACCCCCCTGTGCAAGCCCTGCTGGTGGCGCAGTGGTAGGGTGTGGGCTCTGGAGCCGGACCATTTGGGTCAGGTTCCTGCTTCACGTACTTCCTAGCTGTGTGGCTTCAGGCGAGTTACTTAACCTCTCTGTGCCTGAGTGTCAGAAGTAAAATAGTCCATTCAGGCACACGGCTGAGAGCAACACTTGGTGTATAGCAAGTGCTCGATTGAAATGAACTCTTACTGTAATTCCATCTTGAACTGTTCTGGGACTACCTCATTCCTCCTCACCCGCCACCGTCATGACGTCATGAGAATACTGTGGTCTCCCAACCTGTGCAGCAGGGAGAGGGCAGGCTCACTCCCTCAGGGCCCTGTGGGCTCTCCCTGGTCCGTGTCTCTCCAACCTCACCTCTTCCTTCTCTCCCCTTGCTCACCTTCTGCAGCCACAGTGGCCTTTTATTGCTCAGACACGTGAGTCTTTCCTGCCCTAGGGAAGGCCTTTGCAGGTGCTCTTCCCTCAGCCTGAAAGTTCTGGGTGAAAGTGCGGACCTTCCCTGGTCTAAGTCTCTCCGACCTCACCTCTTCCTCACCCTCCAGGCCTCAAGTTTTGAATGTCACCCCCTCGGAGAGGTT